GCCGCTACTGGTCAAATCTATTTCAGGTGGTCCTCTTCTAGAACATTTAAAATTTATGGCACAAGTAGTAAGGATCTAACGGTTAAAACACCAATAGCTATAATGTCTTCATTATATTTCGAAGGTCGAAAAAAATTGTTACCTAGTGAATTTGTATTTTAAATTCTGTTGGTTGGAAGTTGGAAGTTATTGCCCTCTGCTGAATTTCCGAAGATGCGTCTATGAGAAACGAATGATTCCATCGCATGAAGGTATGATTTAATTAGGACTTAATGGCTGCATATTATTTTCATAGGTATTTTTAGTATTATTCTTCAATTTTTATATTATTTTTTTTATTAAAAATTCGACAAATATTAATTTGATAAGTAATTATTTTAGAATTGTAGAACCAATTAACAATTTATCCGTATTATGCCTACGATTTACTGTAACTGTATGCCGTATTACTGTAACTGTATGCAATTTTAAAGTAGCTACCTATCTTTATAGGGACTATAGTTACTCATAATTCATTTAATAGTTACCCACTTGTGTTTAAGACTAAAAAACACGCAAATAATGTATAAATCTCGTAATATTTGATCTACGATGTGTAGAAGGTGGAGTAATTTGATATTCTGAAACGAACAGTAATCATGTAATAATAGTTTCTTGGATTGCCTTTATAATCTAACCAAGAATAATCACTTGAAGACCAGTTTATAGTCAAGGAGCAAAAACCATTTGTTTTAGTAACAAGAAAATCATTTTTAATTGATTTAATAATTATTCAGTGGATTAAATTAAATTAATAGAACTACTGTAGGCAATTAGAATAAGAGAGAAACAAATAACATAAATAAGAATAAATTTATAGTTAACAACATAAAATGCAATTTACCTATAGGTGTATAAATGAAAAATGATCCACGGAAATATGATCGTTGGTATCAAATGACCGATTGAACGATAAAGACCGGTGGTTTGTGTGGCACTCAATAAAATTAGCTAGAAATCGAAGCGGAATCATAAAATAACAGCTCGTAATGGAGTGCAAGTATCATAACAAAGCTATTACTCCGCCTTTATAGCACAATATGTACAGCCGAACGAAGATTGTATGTGATTTCGAGTCACGGAGGTCTTCACACGGATCGCAAGACTGACTGATGGCAATGGTTTCAGTTTCTTCGATTGCACATGAATGTGTTATTTGCCGCCGTGCGCTTTTAATCCTCCTCCTTTCGGATCGTTCCGTATTGTAATTTTATTATTAATAGACATTCTTCTGAGGAAACAACAAAACCAAATGAGTAAAAAATGGTAAAGCGTGCTTTTGAATTAAAGATATGTTAGATTTGAAAACGTGTGAAACAATAATTTACTCATGTATATCTCTGCAGTCCTTTATCAGATGTAAACAACTAATAAATCTTAACAGTAGCCCCGGCACATAAGACGATGAGTATTCAAATGATAATTTTCTTTGCATAATAGTCTATGAGTTGAGCTGCAATGTAGTTCCGGAATGTTCCTCGCCCTTTCCAAACCGCGAAGGGCCGGCCACGCGCTAATTCCTATCGCGTATGTTTTGGATTATTTTAAAATGGTAGGCACAAAAACAACTAAAAATTTTAAATTATTATTTTTTAAATAGATGCAAAATTTATTATAATATTTTAAAGGTACAATTACCTATTTTATTTAATTGTGAATAAACTATGAAAATCTATAACAAATAGAAAACAGATAAGCTGCATTATTTTATTTTTAATTATTAATAATAGTTCTCTTTTTGATAGTTATATGCCTACATTTTTTGACAAACTAGACATTCTGAGAGTTCGCAGTAAAATGAATACGATCCTGCCCCAAGAACATTATAACACGAAAGGAACTAAAGGGGAGAGTAGCAATACAAAGGTCAAGATTAAAGGTCTAGAGGGTGAGATTAACGACCGAGTTTGGTCAGTTATAATTAAAATGCACGCTGCTAATAATTATACGTATTTTAAGGAAATTGTGTGTACGCACGTAAACTATTTTCTTTTAATAACAGTCGGGAATTCCGTTTGGGAAAAAACGCCTAGTTTCTATTTAACAAACCCGAACCGCAATAAATCATCTCTCGAATATTAATTACCTATAAAATTAATTCAGCGGGATCGATTCCTAATTTATATTTATTTCTTTATAAACTCATCCGCAGTATACACCTAATCGAATGGGAAGAAATAGGAGTAATGGAATCGCAGGTAACCGTTCGAACAGGTACCAGAATTTCGGTATGTCTATTCGAATACGCTAGCGCCACATCGTGATCGAATTGGGAACTTTTCACCCCCATTTAGTTCGGCGGCGTTCCCGCAGGGGTACCTGGTGGCGCTGGTTGTTAAAAATTTAATCTTTCTAGTTTAATTAACCACAAACAAAATTAAGGTGGGAGAATATTTAATTTAATAAATAATTTAACGCAATATTTTAAATAATGAGGCAAATATAAATATGCATGCATGCGGAAATAAACTAAAAAATAGATAAATTTTAATTTTATCTATTTAATATAATTTATAAATATATATAAATTTTTTTTATAAATTTTAATTTAAATATTTTTAATATTTTAATTTCATTTTTATTTTAGTCATGTCAGCTAGGTAATAAATTGTGTTCAGTTCGCAAAATTTTACCGATTTTTTTGAGGATTTGTGCTAATGAAAAAAAAGGAAAATTAAGTTACCTAATTTACAAGCACACATTAGAAATAGAAATTACCAGAAATAATTTAGGTTGATTTTAAAGTGGATAAAAACACTAATTTAATGATTACGTTATGTGAAAATGAATACAAAATTATGCACAATTAATTCTTGTTCTAATTATTCGAATTCCTTGTTTCTGTAGAATTTTTTAAGTTGGAATAATTTTCAATAGAATAATTAGGTAATTTTAGTGAGTAATTACTTTCCGAATTTCAATATTAAAAAAGTAAATCCTAACTTTGAATTTATGTCTTGGTAAATAATTTGCTTTGATACAAACAAAATAATCCGTGTTTTGAAAACGTTAAGTGTGTTTGTTTAGCCTCATCCTACAAAAAAGCTCTTATAAATTCACGCAGTCGTGTTGCAAAAATTCTCCATAAATTGTCTTATAGGTCAACGTGTTGCTGTAGTCAATTAAACTCCTACAGCTCCTATACTCTACTTAAAAAGATTTATTTCAGCCTTATTACCGAATTAAAAACATTACCGTATACTAAATTTAGCGAATAAATATTTATTCGATTTATTAATACGTTATACACGCGGGATTAATTTGTCGTATTTTCGTTATTTGTTGGAAAATTCACAAAAGTATGGTGAAAAGTAATTAAATTGCAGTGTTTTTAATTTTTCCATGAAAGTTCCGTGTCAATTTAAAATAACAACGTTATCAGTACATACCACATGCCCATAAACCTGGTAACGAGAATATTGCTCCAGATGTTTTTGCTCATTTCGTAAACCTTTTTAGTTGTAAAAAATATAATTTGGTATAGATAGGTTAAAAATTGTAATGATATATAATAATAGTGAGTATCTATAATAAATAAAAACATTTTTTACTAATAAATTAGATTTAATTTGTTTAGAAAATTGTTTCGTTTAATACAAAACATGTTATTAATAATTATTAATGTAAATATTAATTGAAATTATAGTGTAATAGGTAATTTAATTCACATATATTTTTTTAGTTTGACATAACTAGGTACTAACCAGTTTATAGACGTTATTTTAAATAACAATTAAAATTATTATTAATAAAATATCCGAGCGAAATTCTGAATTAGTCGAAGAATAATAATTTATACACTGTTGGAAATTAAATTTCGCATAATAGGGAAATCAATGTTAAATTCTTAGCCGGCTAAAATCCAGTCTACCAGTATACATTTCAATAGAACGTCGCGATGAATTCTAATAAATTTAATTGTTCTACTGGACCGCACGCCGCGATTTGTAGAGGTACAAAGTTATTTGTGTTAAGTATGAGGTACAAAATTATTTAGAAACTACAATCAATAGGTTTTTTGGGGATATTTCAAAAAAATGTGTGTATCGGTAGGTACAGTTTTGAAATAGCAACAAATCTTGTTAAAATAAGGAAAAATAAGGAAAAAATAATTCAATTTTCTTAAAATTACACCTCAGCTCAGTAATATGAGATGACATCTGTATGACAGGTTTGGCTATAGTTTAGCAGAAAGCGGTGGACTATTTTTTAGAGTTCTTTTATTTTCTGTTTTAAAATAATCTTTAAGTTTATTTTTGGAGTTTCCTTTTTATTATTTTCTTAGAATTTACTTTCTTTTTCAAGCCATTGTGGCAAAAAGACATATCTACATAATTCTATTTTATTATTAGTGATATTTTTTCAATAAATTATCGTTTAAAAATTCTCAATTCTTTGTAATCGACTCGACGTTCACCCATCCGAACCCGTTTTGATACTGTCGAAGTGTTGAAACCGTCGAAATTATTTGATTTTTAATCTAACCAAGCCAAAGCGCGGTGTGAAGTCCAGTAGAACAATTAAATTTATTAGAATTGATCGCGACGTTCTATTGAAATGTACACTGGTAGATTGGATTTCAGCCGGCTAAGAATTTAACATTGATTTCCCTATTATGCGCGAAAAATTTTCCAACACGGTATATCCTGATAAAGTTGGTATAGAGTTAATAATAGGAGTAAGCGATAAATTTCCCATTTTCCACCTTCGTAGCCATTCTTTGTGAAATTCCGTCTAGACATCGCGCTTTGAATTAGGCTCGACGAACAGCTGATTGCCCCTCGTGGACTGAAAAGGACCAACAAGGCCCGAAAACTCCGTTAGAGCAAGCGAGCGCGGTATACGAGCCGATTTGCCGGTGCGATAGAGACGATTGGGGACCGTTCAACCCCGATTTTACACGCACTCGGCTAATTTACATAGCGATTTAAATGAACCGTAATTCGGACAATCGAACTCACCTGCTATTGCCATCCACGGGTAAAACGTGTGATTCGTCTGCTGGTGGATTTGCGTTCCAACGGGTTGCGTCGACGATGAGTTCAACGAGCACGGGCTGTTCCACGACGACAACGAGTTGGCGGTCCTGGCGCCCGTCGCCGCTCCGGGGCTGGTGGACGGATCGCCGCCGACGAGGCCGACCGACGAGCCGTAGCCCACCCTGGAGTCCGGCGTGCACGCGGCCGGACGCACGGGCCCGGCGAGGCTGTTGGTGAGATTCGCACCGGCACCGGAGGTCGCACTCCAAACGTCTTTGACGGCCGACGCCGCCGCCACCACGGAAGCGTATCCGTTCTGATCCGCGTTTACCTTCGAACAGTCCGATTTCGCGTTCGACGAGCTGTAATTGCCGGAGTTTTGCTGGCCGTCCGACGACGACGAGTACAATTTGCAGGCGGTTGCTACTGAAGCGTCGTAGGGAGAGTCTTGCGGCGGTCGGGCCTGGTGCAGCGAATGTGCGTGATGATGCTGGCTCGATACGTACGGTGATGACATGCCGAGGCTGAGAGGAAACGATCTGTAGGCGGCGGCGGTGACGCTTTGGTGATCGTGGTGATGGGCGCCCGTCACGGCGCCGGTGCCCTGGTGGTGGTGGCTTCCGTAGAAGCCACTTTGTTCGAAATAGGAGTTCATTATTGTCGCGTTAATTTTGACCGGTTATTTTTGATCCCTCAACGAATTGAGGGACGTCCTTCTCTAAGCGAAAAACCAAATTTTAACACACAAGTCACTTATAGTTCACAAGCACAAAATTGTTTGTTGTTTCTTATATTATAGGTGTTATTATTATTATTTTAAATGAAGCACAACGATAATAACAACATCGTGAATTTTATTAAACTCGTCACTAAATGTGTGGGAAACAGTCATTCAATATTAAAAATAATGGTTATTGTTACGACGCAATAATAATAAAAATGGTCAATAAAGATTGTGTTTACGATAATTTCGAGCACGAGGCAAACACACCGCGCTAATGTCGGGCCCGGAATGCACGCGCTAACTGGTTAGATCGCGGATCGGAACCCACTGGAGCTCCGGAGAGCAGAATCCGGCCCACACATCCCGGCCCATTCGCCGTCTCCCTTTCCCCTATCAATGCCTCTCTTTCTTTCAAAGGTCCCCCCACTCGCTTCAGCACGCGGCGATAATTGTCAGCTCATTATTGCTGCTACTCCACTGCTACCTGTATTTTCGAACCCACAAGGACCAACTATTCAACGATTCGACACGGCATTTTGCAACTTTACCCTACCCCTATTTTTATTCAACAATCTAATTATTACTACTTTTTAATTGTTAATATATCTCTCATTAAAATTTCCCTCCTTTTGAATGGATATGAAAAAATTTTAAAATTTTTCAAATGAAGCAAATTTCTTTGGTACAACGAATTTTATTTAAATAATTTTTTTATTGCAAGCAAACGGCGAAGAGAAAAAGGAGCTGGCAAGAATTCGCGAGTAATAAAGACGAATATATCGTTATAATGGAAGGGATCATAAATGGACCAATGGCAATGGCATTCGTTACACCGCTGGCGCCCACATCAAGCATTGCGCAAGGAAAATATATCCCCCTAACGATCTCCCGGTTCACAAACCATTCTCCCCACCTCGCGTTGGCTCTCTTCGTCGCACTCGCGGGGCTCCTGCTGGTCGACCCGGTGGCGTCCTCTGCCGATGAAGCGCCTAAACTGGAGAACCAGATACTTTTAGTCGCTCAAATGGGCAACATCGAGGCGCATACTGGCGATTCGGGTGATTGCATGGTGCATAAAATTCGTCGTTCGAGTTCCCCGTGTTCGTAAAAAAAAGTAAAATTCATTCGGCGAATTTTACGAGATTTCGTCGAAAACGGTTTGGGGCATATTTAACTGCAGGGAAAATGGGACAAATCGGTCGTAGAAGACGTTGAATGCGTAAATTGAAAATTTTTGTAACGAGTACGGGCTCTTGCGTTTTTAATTGTTTATTGGCTGTTTAAGTGGTTAACAAAATTAAGAAATTAAATTTTTATTCTGAAATTCTGATTTGTGAAAATTAGGGCCAGAATAAATTGTGTGGTCTTTCCAAAAAGCAAATGAAAAAAAAGTGTCGAAAGAGCCCCATAAAATGTATTTCAAATTAAAAATAACATGAAGTATTGGAAGGAAGAAAAGATATCAATCAAACATTCTTTTTAATTTTAAACTTTAAACTTTAAACTTAAAATTTAAATTTAAACTTTTTTGAAAATCAATCTATTTAATAAATAATTATTAGCTAAAAAATTATAAACCATTAACATATATTTTTATTTACCTATATAAACCATTAAAGTCTTTAATAGAATGTAATATAACAGCTATATACGTGCAATTAAACAAAAAAATTATTGTTATTTAAATATAATACGAATTTAATGTGAAAATTTATAGACCATAAAAATTTTCAATTAAAAACTATTTGATTTAATTAAATGAGCAATGCTAAATCGACTGCCAACATAATTTAAGCGATGCCGATTAAAATATCGCGTTCGACCAAGAAATAAAACAAACATTATCGTCATAATTAAACTAAGTATCAATTTTCGTTATTTACAATATGAAAATGTCGTTAAACTTTTATTATTATAGTTTATTTACGTCAACAAATCATTTGAATATTAGATATTCATAAATTCGTCACGGTTTTTTGGCACGCTTTTGGATGCTACTTTAAAAGTTTTTACGGTGTGCGAAGTCCATAAAGTTTTTTCCTTTTCTATGTGACGTTTACGACCACTCAAACGGCAGTAAAATGTTCGTTTACAACTATGTTACCTCCTTGCATATTGAAATTACCCGAAATCCGACATCTGAGGAGGCCTCTGCTCTTTACCTTCGGCCATAAGGATTACTATTGCCGAACACAATTTTATTGTACTTTTACGACTATATTATGATCCCATAATGACATTTGAGTAGTCGGAAGGTTTGTTAGCATTATTTTTACGACTCCATAGATCATTATTCTGTTAAACACTGATATAACTTGTTGAGAGTACGTTTTTACGACATACCACCTTCATTTAATTATGTAAATACCGCAATAAAATTATAAAGCTCCATTTTATATAATTTATAGGCTATATGAAACAACTGGACAGTGTTGCCAAAGAAAATTTACAGATTATATTTTAAAGACAAATTTAATATGTACTTAAATACTTAAATATGTTATTTTATTATCATTAGTTGGTTTTTTTATTCTTTATTAGGTACTATAAAATTAATAATTAATTTCTTATTTATCTACCTATGAACCTATATCAAATTTTCTTTTTTAAATTGTTATAGATGATATAAAATAACTAATAGATAGTTAGTTAAGTTCATACATGATATTTATTGTTCTTACTCACTTTCGAGCAATGGCCACCCGACCTTCTGGAGCACTAATAAAACTTCCTAAACAATGAAAAAAACTTCGTATAGAAATTTGTATAGGTACAGTAAAAATAATGTTGGATTTTAGCTTAAAAGAAACTTCTCGTAAACTTTATTAAATTTTAAAGCTACAATTATAACAGATGTTTATAACCTATGTATAAGTAGGTATTATACTAAAGTACTGTATACTTTATGGTAAATTTGGCCAAGACCTGATGGAATAGGCAAAGTTCATGAATATTAACTCAATAGAATTATCAACCAAATACCAATTAAATCTACTTCCTAAAAACAGCATAATATACCTATCTTAAGTTAATGAAGATAAGAGTTACCTACAAGAAGATAATTTAGGTACCTCCTATACTCCTATGCCTATACATTATATCTACTTTTTAATAGCAAATTGGAATAAAATATATTGAAATAAAATTCCTATTGATGAATCATTCTGTTATACTTGATTATTGTAGCTACATAAGAAAAACAAAATTTTAATTTTCATCCCTTTCATTAGCACAAGGAATATTTTCAAAATAACCACTTCACCACCATCTATCGGACGATAGCGGAATTTCGCGCCGGCACGATCCGAATGGGGTGAAAGTGGATCTACCGTGCAGTTAACCACATTATTGGAGCTGTAACGATCAATACAATGGGAGTTTTATGGTCAATAAAGACCCATTCTTGTTCAAGATTGCTTGTAAAATGAGGCACAAATGTTCCTTGGTGCGATGAGGTTACTGTATAAATTGCAGTTATGCTTTTTTATTTGCTATAAATGTTATATAATCTGGTTTGGAACGAGAAACGGACCATATTCATTTGCGTTTGTTATATCACGTGGAGAATTAATAATCTACCTACAGCTTTATAATTGAATTGAAATTTCCTTGGGACACTAATTAGAAGGATTTATGTAGATGATTTATTCGTGTTTCGGGCGTCGCGTTTCGGGCGGGATCATAAAACTCTCTCGTTTCGGGCGTAGTACCAGGTTTTCGTTATGATGCAATAAAATCTATTTGCAATAATATCTCGTTTCGTGCGTTTTACACTTTACAGCTAATTTGGAATATCCACTTTAATCTTACATATTATGTATTTTAGTCTATCATAGGATCGGTCGGTTGAGAAATAACAACTAATATTCTTGCTTACATTTGTATACATAAGATTTTTTATTATAAATACAAAAAACTAGATATAACATAAATCAAACAATAAAACACAAAAAAAAACATAGAAAAACACAAAAAAACACAAAAAATACATGTAATAATTATAACTAATCGAATTTAATTATGTACATTAATTTTTGCAAAGTTTCGCCTAAGCTTACTTTATTTTGTAAAAAATTATCAACACCCTTATTTATTCGGCAATCTAAGTCACTGTACTTTTTTGCACGCTTTGGAGTGTTCATATTCAACTCATTTTGTTTAACAATTATGTCATAGTACCGCATTTCTTCTTCAAAAATTTTAAAAAGTTCATAAATATTTGGATGCGCTTTTCCAACACGGTTGTTTAGTCGATGATGCCATCCTTCCACCGAATTTGTTGTGCGGTGTCGCTCCTTGTAGCACACCCATAGGAATTCGTCATCGTCAAGCCATTGATCCACAAAATAATCATTAAACTTCACCAGAGCATCTTCCTGTGGGGAGGTTTCCATTATTAGAAGCCATGCTTCAGGAATATACTCTTTTGGCAAATGTGCCAGGGCTGCACACATACGAACATGTTCCCTAATCGCTGTATTTTGTCTGTACTCCGTAACTAAACCCAACTCTTGCACTTTTCGCCAAAGGCATTGGTTGAAATGAAAATTGCACCCTTTGATTTTCACTTCTAAGAAAATTTGTTTGAGAGCGTTTATTGCTGCCCGTTCAAAGTCAATGTGGACTTTTTCGGGTTTAAATTGTGCACTTTTTTCTAATAATGTAAAAAGTCTTTTATACGTAACTTCTTTCCTATCGGGTAGAAGAGCATAGATGACTGGAACAATTCTGGTGGTGACATCACTGCTTCCCAAATCTACGTGTATCGTATATAATTGGTCGAATAGGGAACAACAGCTTTTAAATGTCCCGTCCATAAAAAATTCGGAACCTTGATTTAAAAGTCCCCTATCACTGCAAAAAGCCAATATTCGATCTTCCTGTCCGTCGTCTATTAGCACAAGTTGTTGCATTGGCTCCGGGATGACTATTTCTTGCCGTTTCTTTGGTAGAGATTTAACTCCCAAAGATTTTTGTCTGCATCTGTAGAACCTATCTTTGACGTTTCCAAGTGTTGGTACTTCAACAACAAAGTCCAGTCCAGCGTCCTTAACTTGCATCAGCTCTTGGCGGTAGATTTCAGGAATTGGCAGCAACTCCTATCCCGTGCACGATTTTTTGCTTTGTGTAGACATAGGTCTACATCATTTTTGGCTTCATTCGGGACACATGTGTGGCTTTTCTCTTGAAGAACCTTATAGTCCTTTGTTGTCAAAAGGGCTCCTGGACACGACCGATTTGTACAGATCCAGCGCATGGTCTGGTTCTTGTTGACGCACTTTTTTGAAAAACGATATCCTGAATATAAAATTGCAG